TTCCGCGGTTTTTGATACTGTTCGCACGTACTCCTGTCTTCTGCTTCCACTTGTACCATTTCTTGGCACGATCTCGGTATTCGTTCAATACCACGAGATCGCCAACGAAATAAATCTGGTTACGTTCGATCTTCGCCTTCTGATTTATCTGGCACGTGTTTCTTGGTAGCGGTGTTCACAGTTAATCTCAACTCGACGCCGCGCTACAGATGACTCACTGGAAAACACTACTGATGTTATCACTTGTTACCTTAAATTCTGTTTCGATATTTGTTTTCTCACTGAAACCATTTTTGTAAGTTTTGATCGACTTACATCTTCACAACTGAAACGACTACGGAGGACGAAAGAAAGAATATACAGGGAGAAGAACTCTAATGAAGTTCGTAAGCTAAATGGTCTGATAAACCTAGAGATTGGACGTCTCAACTGTATGTTTACTCAAAAACTCTTGTCTTGCAAAAACTCTCCAAGTATGTGGAAACTCTTTAAAGAACTTACAGATGACAAAACGTTTAGAAGCGATAACCAGCTAAATGTTTGTGACTTAAATAAGTCTTTTGTACTTCAGTCATCTGATGTGATGCTCCCTCTATCCATGGGTTTAAAAAATAGCTGTGTTCCTACTTTCACTGAAAGTGATGTCTGAGGATGTCTCCAGTCGCTTAATTCATCTCGAAGTTTGGGACCTCATGGTATCCCAAACATCCTTTTTAAAAAATGTGCTGACGTTCTGTGTCATCCGTTCGCAACTACATTTAACAGATCCTTCTCATCTAACCTCATACCGAAAATGTGGAGAAAGATGAAGATAATTCCTGTACCCAAGAAAGCATTTGGTGATAAGAATGTAAAATTTAGACCTATTGCAATAACTTCACCCTTCCTCAAAACCATGGAAAAATTATTAATTCTTCCACTTCAGCCTGCGATAAAAGAGCATATTGATCCATATCAGTTTACTTACAGACGCAAAAGAAGCACCTTAGATGCTGTTGCTGTTCTGCATCACAACATAGTGTTCAACTTAGAAAAGGGTCAGAAGTATGTTCGATGCTCTTTTCTGGACTATACTTCAGCTTTTGATTCTATACCAAGACAACGTTTACTTTACAAGTTAATCAGCGTCAACACTGACAGCTGGATAACCAACTGGCTATGTTCCTACCCCTCTGGAAGGGAACAGTATACAGTATTTGGAGGGAAGCGTTCAGAGTCTCTACTGTCTCATGAAGGTGTACCACAAGGAGCTGTTCTTTCACCTCTTCTATTCTCTTTTTTTCTGCATGATCTGCCGTCTTCCACAGAAAACACTTTTTTGAAATATGCGGATGATCTCATTGTATGTATGCCTATCTCTTCCTCTTTACATCCCATAGAAATGAATGAGCTTTTGTCTCGTATTGATTGTTGGTCTGTTGGTAATGGTCTCATACTTAATCCGTCTAAATGTCAAGCTGTTAACTTTAGCATGAGACATGAACGGAATATAAACACTATTTTGAGATCCCATAGTGCTTGTACCATCGGAGACTGTTTGATAAGCACAGTGTCGAATGTCAATTATCTTGGTGTCACCTTTTCCTCTGATCTGTCTTGGTCTTCCCACGTTTTATCGTTATCGAAGAAGGTTTTCCATCTGACCTACTACATAAAGAGATTGCATGCTCTTGGAATTACTCGTCATCTACTCTTACAATTTGTCAATTCTTGCATATTACCTATTATTCTTTACTGTTCTCCATTATTCTTTCCCGGGCTTTTGAGAAAAGACATTGCTGTATTGCGGATAGTGCTGAAGGCAGTTGGCAAGATGTGTGGTGAATCTTTCGAGGTCATAATTAATATGGTTGTGGATAGACATCTAAAATCATGCAAACTCCTGGCAGGTGTTATTTTATCAGATACTAGTCATCCCCTTCACACATATCTTTCTTCTTGTATATCTTCTGGTAGAACGAGACGTAATTACATTAAAATCCATGCGCGCAATCAAAAGTGCAAAAGTTCTATAATACCTTACCTAGCAAATATTCTCTGTGACGAACAGGTTGTTAGAGTTAACCTGGTCAATAAACTGCCTTCTTAACATGTCTCTCATTTTAAAAGTTGGACAGTTTTTTTCAAGCCTTTTTTGTATTTGTTACTTTTTTTGCGTAAGTAACTTGTTGAAATACCCTGTGCTGAGAATTCTATATTGTACCAAAATATAATATTGGATAAAGCCATTAATAATAATAATATTTGTAGAAATAGAATAACCATAACTGTTAACATATTCGTAAAAGACGAATCAATAAAAATAAGTCGTTAGTGCAGTGAGATTCTATGCAGAAGTGTTTTTGAGTGATGTAATAAAAGTCGAAAGTAGTTGCCGACAGCTGTGATGTGGTAAGTAACGTCGCTTGTTACATATTGCATTTTCAGCAACAGTTTGTATAGTTCTGAATACCACTTTAGTATCCGTTGTAAGTGTAAGTTGACAGCATGTTCAAACCTGAACTGTTAACATTGTACGAACAGAAAGGAATGTACCTTCAACAAAACTTAATATGCCAGTCCACTATCATTCAATTTTCGGAATGACTACAAATTTGTGATGTTCTGTCAGATCTATAACAAGCATATGCGCTGAGGGATCCTCAAAAACAGGAATTTAGTTAATGGATTTGCTCGAAACCGCCTTCAAATAAAAAATTTCTTTACTGCATATAATAGTTGGTTTCTCGTCCATAGCCTGGAGATCGAATACGGGCTTTTGCAGACAATAGTTTGATTTTGTATGAATAATGCTACTTACTGCCTCAATATCGACGAGATGGCAAACACCTGTAGCGGCAAATAACTTTTCAAAATCAATTGTTTCTTAAGTATTTAGTACTGATGCTGACCTCATTGGTTTTACTGGATATACCTAACCGATGGAGCTCGGTCAAACATCAGCACCAAATCGTCGATGGATACGTCGTGCTAAGCATCCCTTGAAATTACTATCCGGTTTATATCAAACTCAGCTCAATTTGTCGACATGAGTTTTTTTATCAGTTTTAAAATCTCCCCAATATATCTTCGCGGTTGCTGGTTAGAATTAAGTATATACATCTCTTTGCTTTACGATGAAAAAATATCCCAGACCCTTTGTGATTGGAGTTTGGAATGTTCTATTGAGAATTGAACACTTGAGACTCGATCAGTAAACTAACCACAGACGACGTGAAAATTGAAAAAAATTCCTCTTGAAACGGATCACGTGAAAAAACTTAAATGGTCTTAATACCACAAAGTCTAGGAAATTTAGAGAACTTTTCAGATTTCTTAACCTGAAACTAAGTACGATTATTTCTAGTTCGTTTAGCCATCCCACAAGCACTTACCAATGGTAACCTTAGTTTTTATTTATAGTTGTCCCTCTCTGTTACTGATATGACAACGAAAATAAAGATACTATAGACATCAAGAGTATTAATATACATTTAAACCAGGTCGATCTTCAAAAGGCAGTCGAACTTTTTACGGTGTTTGTTATGTTATGGGTATTCACTAAAGGGTATTGATCAGAAATTATCTTCATATTTAGTCGTCAACAATCACCAGTTGAGAAGCGATCGTTGTCCCTATCGGAGATCATTTGTATGAGAAATGCTCGAGCAAATACAGTCTCCGTTAACAAAATCCAGTGAGCGAATATTCCACGAGGGTTAGTCGTGTCAGACGGTACAGAGACTGGGACACTGCACAGTTCTCAACAATTTCTTGAAAACTTACAGTGGGTGTTGTCGTGCCAACACCAATCAGGGTAATCTGTCTCCCGTGGTCGAGAAACACATCTTCCTCGTGATGCGATTCTCCTTGGAATCCGGAAGCGTTTGTGGTCATGATGAATATGAAGATGACGAGCAGGAGAATTCCAAAGACCTCTAATGTCATTTTATGTCTTTTGAGGCTTTTCCTTGACAGAACAAACCTTGATGTTGAGAGTCCTAGCGATCTCCAGACTCCAGTCAGCGGATGCAGCCAGCTTGTCTACAGCGTTATTCGGAATGCTGTAGGAACCACTTGCACCTGTTGGGTGAGATTTTAGAGGCAAAGCTGTTTGAAAATGCCCTCTTCAAATGTCTGTTGAGTAATGACCTCCAGCATATATAGCACCATTTCTGTTGCTGGGTCGTGTTGTCACTCAATGTTGTGGAAGAGTTGATTTAAAATTTGCCGGTCAGTTAGTCGTACATGTATAGGGATCGCCTCCCTTATAGTTTTGTTAGGTTCAGAATTATCACCAGTATACATAATAGGTGTGACGTACCTGCTAAAACCACGTGGTAGTACCTTCATTACTGTGACGAATAGAGCAAGTGAGTCTATCTCGCCGTGCTCTTGTGAGTCAGATCCTATGTAGCTGAACCAGACTTCGATATTATCGAGCAAGAATGGCATGAGTTGAAGGGTGTGAGGCGAAAAAGTATCAATCTTAAACAGCTCCTGTGTCTGTCCAGTCATAATGAGGATAAAATATTTAACTGGGTAAAAAATATCCCACAATACAGAAGTAATATTCCGAACGTTATTGCTAAGGATACGTAGCGCGACGTGTCCACTGTTGATCCGGTGCTGATATGTAGCCGAGCGCCTTCAGCTAGGTATATCCAGTAAAACCAATGATGCCAGAATCAATGCTGAAGATTTATGAAACTTTTTGAGGGGTATATACTCAATATCATGTCCCATCTCTGGTGTTAAACTTATTAGCATGATCTGGATTCTTTGGAGGAACGCATACTGAGGTACTGAATTTTCGAACATCGTAAATGGTACATACAAAAGTCGTGAGTACTCAATATTCGTTAGCAATATATCAAAATTTTTCTTAACACTCGTACAACGAAGGTCATAATACTCGCCTTGTTTTAACGCCTCGGAGAAATCTGATCGTCAGTTAGTTGCGCAGCGTTTGACCATCTGAGCAACGTTCTGGATGGTTTGTAAAGGTTTTAGTTATACTTATGGATGTATCTGGTCAAGATACAAGCGATCACTGTACTAATTCACCTGAAGGACCTGTAACCGTTGCACAAGCGAAATATGATCCGTTTTTTACACGAAACCTAAGAGTTATTGAGGATTTATTAATTGATGAGAAACGATATCACAGCACTCCTGGTTTCTGTGTTTCACAATCTCCTGCAAGAACCACATGGATGAGACGATCTCTTCTTAATTGGCTTCGAGATGTAGGTTGATGTATTAGATTCTTACAACTATCATAGATCTGTATCCATCGTGGGACTGATGGTGAAGTTCTAGCACACACAGCACAGCTGATTGACCGTTATATGCACATAGTGCCAACTGAGCAAAATGAGTATCAACTTGTGGGTGCAACGTGCTTCTTCATCTCTAGCAAACTGAAAGAAACTGTACCTATAGCCTTAAGAAAAGTCACAGAATACACAGCCAATTCACTGACAGAACAGGATGTCTTAGTAAGACTTTTTTTCTCATTCACTTATACTTCAGGCCAAAGAACTTACAGTGTGTATATCACTCATGTGGGACTTGACTTGCATTACCCCGGTAGATTTTGTCGCTCCTGTGGTTGAGTTCCTTGAATTCGTACCTAGCTTGCGTCAAATTATTCGTCAGGCTGCACTTTGTATATATATTAAGGCTTTTCACGGTAAGAATTATATTGTATACTCTTTGTAATATTTAGATTCCCTTATTATTTGATAGAATCTGATTACTTTGTGTGGAATATTACGTCACATTTTTCACTCGTGTTAACACAAGCAGTTACTTCAGAACTTAATTTGCATTATTTCTGTTCCAGCAGTATTTAGCTAAATGTATTCGCAAGTGTTTGCTCAGTGCAGTTGTCTCTAATAGCTGAGCAGTACATTGTCTAATTGCCTACAATGATGAAATGTAATAGTATTTCCAAGTTTCACATCCGATGCTTCAAATACCCTAGTCGGATATTAATGTCTGAACATAAGTCGCTTGTCATCTTGGCTTGACACATTTTTACACCCTAGATTTTTTAACGAACCGAGGCTTTATCCTAGAAAAATTGGTTAATTGCGACTGTTCTGTCCACATGTATTTGACGCTTAATTGGGAAATATCTCGAAATTAGCGTTGCAGAAAAGCTATCAGCTTCGTTACTAGTATAACTAAAACTATCCGGTTTTCACCTGACGTGATTTTCAACACTAAGCAGTTACTTTGGATTGAGTCTAGCCTCATATTTATGTATGACTCTAAGCTCATTAATAAAGTTAACAATACTAAGGCCTTAAATTTTTCGTTGATCATGTTCTGTTAATATTGACTTTAAAACTATAGGAGGTCGTAAGTTTTGCTGTAAACGTATGAAACCTTACCCTGCTAGTTTCTCTGAGTGCCATAACGAAACCCACTTAGGCGTTTTGCTGTCACACCATTGTTAGTGATTGATCACTAATTTAAAAAAGCTGCTATCCAAGATTAATTTACCCTATCATTTGAACACCTTACAGGTAGTTCATGTTTCTTTCCAAGTGTCAGGTTAGTAATTATAAACCTGCAATCAGTGTCTTGCCATTCGTAAAATTTTCCTAATATCTATACCTCAGTGAATCTTGACACCCAGTGTGTCGAATCGTCTGAAGCAAACCGTACCCACTTGATGTCGCAATTTTATCACATTCAAACTAATCCTTCAAGTATTCACCGCCCATGATAAACAGGCCAGAAGTAACGGAATTAGCTGGGAAACCAAAAGCTTCAAGTGCGATACCGTCGTAGTGCCATCAAGTGCTATTGTAACGTTACAGTTAACGTGTTCTGCGAGTAGTATCGAACATGTTTCCTCAGAAAAAAGATGGGGTTGGAGAATCATTACATCTCATGTCGCTCCGGATCAGTTCACATGATTTTGTAGATTGTTACTAGATAATCATACTTAGACTATTGATCCCATGTGTCTTCTTTGCACTCTGAACTCATTTTCGTACCTCGAGATGTTCCAACGTGAGAGCACCAGGACGCCTTATGGTCCTCTAGTCCCTTCACGAAGTTGATTTTTGTATCATTTCTGTTATCTACGTTCAATTCAATCCAGGGATAGGTATAAGCAAATCAGTGCTAATTATGATACAAGTAGTAGTTCCGGTTTTTCGGGAAATTGTTTCAAGTCTTATGCAGCTGATGCACCCATTTATTTGTAGCTATTTTAACTTCACTGAGGAAATATATCTATCTGTGCTCTGTTTATATGTAAAAAGCCGAATAATCAGAAAGAAATTCGATGATAATCTACCAAGGTAATCTTCCGTTTGGCACTAGTTGGACCTATTAGTAAAATACGACAAACGTTGATAAATCAAGACAACCTTAATAACACCAAAATTTAGACGTAGTTGACTTTATCAGGTTATAAGCTGAGCACGAACGTACGCAATAACCGTAAGCACTGAAAAGAATAGCATGAGTGGAAAAAAGCTGTTGTGATGTGTAATAGTAAGTAGTTTTCAGTTCCCATGTTATTTTTTGCAAAATCTATATGTGACAATTTAAACCGTCTGCAGTTCCTCAATTATATTTCCTGTTTGACATTATTTTGACTTTTTCTCATCATAAGGCAGTGTGCAACAATTCGAACCTATGCACATCTCATATTCCTTTGATATATCATGACTTATCGCTGACACTACCCAATATCAGTTTATGAAATCACTGGTCATATGGACGGTGAAAGACTTTCTTACTGGATTTTGTTGGACCCCGGACAATTGTTTGAAGATCATTGTCGGTGACACATTCATTCACTTTATAATCCTTTAGATCACAAACCTACTGTTAATTTTCTAAATATAATAAGGCATGGTTATGTTTTACTATCTCATCGTTATCCTGGTTCAATCTTGTGATCTCTAGTTCTCTATGCCTGCGTTACTCAATGTAATAACATTGTGAACTGATATTGTTTCGTATCAAATATGTTTTTATCAACTGACTTAGCATTCAATCATTCTCCACACAGTAACCTGGATTAAATCTAGTTGATTGTTGTATTTAAAATCAGGTCGAATTTTCAGTGTCATCAGCACGTTTTATTAGGATTTCAATGCATTTATCCGATGACTTGTTCCGATAAGTCTTATTGTCAGTAATTTTTTTCTATTTTTTAGTTGAAGAAATTAGTACTTATATGCCCAGCTATATAGCAGCCGCATGTATTCTTTATGCTTTGAATCTAACTGTACATCGGGATTTAAGTGATACTGCTATCAGATCAGTTACCCGTATTCAGCGAATTTTAAGGCTTGAAGCAGTGAGTTCTTTTTAAATGTATTATTAATGGTTTTACATTTTATTTTAGTACTTCGAGAGTACCAATAAATAAATATTCTCTTAATAAAATTAAGTGATCATTTGTACATATTTCTCATTATGTATTCTGCAATTCTACACATGGATATAAGTCTCCAAACAAGTGCGATCTGAATCTCAACTATCATCTTCGCAAAACTCAGAATAAGTAAACATGTAACAAATGTCTGCCGAACAACTAATTTGTATCAAATCTGTGATATTTTGCAAATCAGAATTTTTCGCTAAACATCAATATGATATTTTTGAATCAAAACCCAATCAGTTGTATTTATTGAAATAAGTTATTATTTCAATTTTATTTGGAAGACTATCCTTTATTATACTCATAGCCTGATAGCTTCTTTTCGAAATTTCATCGAGTATAGTTAACACATTAGAAAACATATTAAAAAATTTTACTATTTATTCTTAGAGGCATCTTAAATTACTCTTTTCTCATCCATATATTTTTCTTTAAGAAGCATGTTACAAAAATTTTGAAGTAACTCGTAAAGCCCATTATCCAAGTTCTTTCAAATAAAACGTTTGATTTCTCCACTTCGTTTAATCAAGCCTGGTGTGAAGTTTAAACGCTTTGACTTGTTCTAGTAAATCCGCCAAAATCTATAACAATAAATTGTGTAAGGTTACTCTACTAATAATAGATTCCTACTATCTGATACAATAAACATTTAACGTATTACTTATTCGCGAGTATTGCCTGTTAGTTCGATACCTTTCATTGTTTCTGGATAGTTACAACTTCGCATCGCTTAAGGACATCATTGTAAAGAGATGATCCTTTAAAATACATCTCACCCATGCATACGTTTCTTTCTTTAGTGGTGCCGACGATATTTTTATTAATATGCTCCACATCTACGCTCACAAATACAGTCTTTAAATTCATAGCTCACATGTTTCTATACTTCTGGAAAAACACTTCTCATGATTTGATTACATCGTTAAAGTGCTCAGTATTTCAAATTCTAGTCATTGATAAATTGACAGATGTAACTTAGACGCTCACTCGTTCAGGATTTAAAACAGTACCAACTATGGGTTACATATTTTCTGAACTACAATTATTAATTCCTTGCACATTTAAAAATTAAAAAAATACTGCTTAATTAAATTAAACACCATACTACACAAAATACAGTATTTGTTCACGAAGTTTGTCAAGATTCGGAAATTTCGGGGTTCCCTAAGTTTTATTTTATTTATTTATTTGAACACAAATATTGATACAAGAGAGCACCAAATATATGTGCGCCACACAAAACAATGAGAATGGGAAAAGAAAAAAGAAGGTAATAAGCGTGACAGAAAAAAAGAAGAACAATAACGACCAGATTAGTGTAAGGTACTGTGGTAATAATAATAATGGGGGAAACGGAAAGGTACAACCAGAAGAATCCTTTCAGTTAAGGAAGATATAACCACTTTTTATGAAGAAAGTAAAAGAAGGTTACAGCGGGATCGCCACTGGCTTCTATTCTGAGCCATATCTGATAACGTCTCTAGCCACTGTGTATTACCATCTCTCGGACCCCAACCAGGGAGTCGTGGAGGACCAACAGAAGTCAGTCCTTTGCAGCTTTCCTTCATACCACGACACCATGTCATACACTGACCACCTCTCCGCTTCTTCCAACCAGTCCCAGAGTCGGCAAATAATGCACGACGTGGAATTCTCTGGGACGACATTCGTAGGACATGTCCAAGCCACCGAAGTCGATGTTTCAAGATAGTGACACTAATTGGATTATCGTCTCTGTGCCCGAACACACGTTGCCGAACCTCTGCATTACTAACATGATGTTGCCACTGGATGTCAGCAATCCTTCAGAGACAACGATGATCAAGCATAGAGAGTCGTCTAACATCCTCAACTCAGAGACCAGGATTCACAAGCATAGAGCAAAACTACTTTCACCGACGCGTTGTAGATCCGACCTTTTACAACTAGACTATCATCACAAAGGCACCAAATGTGGCCTAGATTTGCATAAGTCGCTCGTGCTTTGACTATACGTGAATTGATCTCATCACTCACGCCACCACCAGCACTTATGCAGCTACCTATGTATACAAACTTCTCGACTACTTCTATCTGCTCACCATCCAGGGTGAGTACAGGATTAGAATCCCTCCAGTCTTGTAGAAGTACTTTGCACTTCGAAGGTGCAAAGCACATACCGTACCTACGGACACGGATTGCCAACTGATTAAGTGCGGATTGCATGCCTTGGGCATTATCGCACAGTAAGAAAATGTCATCCGCATGCCCAAGTTCGAGGTATGTCAGTCAGTAACAACGTAGAATTTCGTACGTACGTACATCAGTTCGAGTTGCCACACCCCATTTGCACAGAGATGCAGTGGTCGATTCAAATCCCGTAGTGCTAGATGTAGCAAAATTATAAGCTGTAATCAGAAAAATTAGGGTTTGAAGATGTTATTCAATGAGTATAATCCAGTGAAATAAATTTGGAAAGAGAAAAAAAGAAAGGGACATGAAGAATTCAGAAGATTAGAATTCGGGAGAACACAAAGAATGGATGCACCTGCACCATTGCAAACGATTTTGAACCATGTCTTTCAAGGTCTCTAACCATCGGTTACTTTCATCTCGCGGTCCCCAACCAGGTAGTCTACACCTACCAACATAGCTCAGTCTACTTGTCAGTGACTTCATAGACTTGTGTCATGTTTTGGTCTGGCCGCCCCTAGCAACAGATCCACACTGCCATTACTTACATACATCAGAGCTGTTTCCAGAATGTCGTCGATGGCAAAGCTGAAGAGGAATGGTGAGACTACCCAACCCTGTCTAACCCCACTGCTCAAATGGAACAATAAAAAAAGGTGGTTGTATGCCCTCACTCTACCTGAGGTGTTTGTATATAGGTCCTTTAGGATGTTAATGAACTTCTCAGGCTCTCCCTTCAATAGACAATCCCAGAGAACAGTCTTGTCCAACGAATCGAAGGTAGCCTTACTGTCAAGAAACACTACGATTGTTGGCCTGTGATAAGTATGACGGTGTTCTAACATTTGGCGAAGGGTGAAGATATGATCAATACATCCTCGACCAGAACGAAACCCAGCCAGCTCCTCGCGAGTCAATCTTTCTCGGGTTTTGAACAACCTACGAAGTATAACGGAAGCCAATAGCTTGGACGCAATCGGAAGTAAACTTATCCTCCGATAATTGTTACAGGAACGACGTGAACCCTTTTTAAAGATAGGGACAACTATCGACTCATTCCATGACGTTGGTACACTCTCTAGTTCCCAGACCTTTGTAAACAACACAGTCAGTTCCTTAGTCACCACCATCTTTAAAAAGAGCCGGAGGTAAGTCATCTGGGCCCGGTAGTTTGTAGCGCTTCAAGAGTTGGAGCTCCTTGTATACATCTGCCTCATTTCGTGGATCAGTCGTCACCGGCCATATAGGGCAGGACACTCTGACCGGTGTTGCCGGAGCAGCAGGTCAGTTGAACTGGCCTAAGTAAAAATGTTGATCCAAAGTATTTAGACCATTGTCATGTAATCACTTATTGTCAGCATTCATTGTTAAGGATTATGGATTTCTATTTTAAGAACCATGATAAGACATTTTGAGTTGTTGAAATCTGTATTTTTAAAGCTGCAAAAACAAATCTGTATTTAATTAGATTACCTAACATACTAAGTTTTTTATTTTCTATTTACAGCGTAAAATGCGTGAAGCATATCAGATTCTTCAAGCTTGCTTTGAACCTGGAACTGTGCAACTATCAAATGCTGTGTTAGAAGGTGATATAGAGCCCCCTGAAAGTCCCGTTCGTGAAGTACCGGTTCATCTTGTCCATCAATTACATTCCTCTTCTACAACACCAGTTAACACGACTGTATTACTTCCACTAGCGACTAGTATGTATATCCACCCACATCTTAACTCGTCTAATCAGTCTTCACTAACTTCTGTTGATATTCCTTCTCTATCTACCTCCATGGTTTTTGTAAATAATAGCGTAATCTTTGATCGTAATTGTAAACCTACAACGTCCGCTTCTCTTTCAGCTTGTTCTACTTCATCCCCTCCTTCAGAAGCTGAAAATATGGGATTAAGTGAGCTAGAAAATGAACATTCTCGATGCGCTTATATTAATCGATCCCGGTTATCTATGCCGTTAATTCATTATTCTCATTCTACCCAGTTTTGTCATCATTCTAATGTATCAGCTACTGATAAATTAAGCGAACGCAAACTGATCCCATTAGTTTGGGAAAATCCAGTTTCAAATCGGACAAATCAGTATAAGTAAAATCCATACATCCGTTATTGCATTTCAGTTCTAAACAATCAGTCAGTTGTATTTATTAATTTCTTTACTTGTATTTCCTTGTATTTCATTTTTATGGGACAGTTGCTTGCTACTTTTGATAACCTTTAATCTAAATCAGTTTTCCAAATATATTCTCATTTTCGCTTTACTTAATTCCACAGACGCTGACACAAGCTGTCTACCCCATATGTGTTTCATATAAAAGCTCTTACTTTTGTACACAATTATGTTTTTAATTGTGTTTGAGTGCACATATACTTGGTTATGTTCATCGGTTTACCATTCCTTCACTAGTTATGTGTTGGGTTTAATTTTCTTCGCTTACCGCTCAAAATTGTCGTAATAGTTAAAAACTTTTTATCCATTCCCTTAGCAAACAGAAAACAAACCGAACATTTCGAAATAAATCTATAGTAAGCTCAATGTTAAAGTCTATTGCTATTAATCCATTTTTGAAGGATAAGCAATTTTCGTACGATCATTTAAGATAGTTATGATTAGCAGGTTGCCAGTGGTACTTATAAATAATCTTGAGTGGATATTTCATATATTTTAAATAGACTACCACCTATTCAACAGCTTTGCATCTGAGTATTAATAACTGGACAGCTGAGTTTCAGTTCTCTTTACCATAGTGTGATTAAATCGTAACAACTATCGTGAAGGTTACACAAACTCAGTAAATTATGTATTCATTATTAATTTTCTCATTTATCTTTAAATTTCTGATAAAAGTTGCTTACGATAATGTTCGATGACTACATGTAACAATAATAATTGTGTTATTGAAGTAGTCTAAATTGAGAACTGTTATGGACAGAAACAAGGTTGATATAAATATCCGATTATTCTCCAACTGAGTAAGGCGCTAAAGTTTCAGGTAAGCATTGCTGACATAGGTATTACCTACCGAGGAATCCGAGTTCACGACTTCTTTGACGTCCACCCGTTATTGAATACCGCAAATCTCAGTGTTAAGTCACTTAACTAGTTATTTTCGTGACGCTAGTGATGAGTTTGTTAAAGTGGATTTACTTAAAACGAGCAATCTTTATATCCTGTAATCCTTAAGTGAAATCTAACTGCGAAAAATCTTTGAAATGACATGTTTTGCATCCAAAGATATCACAGTAAAATGGTGTGTTTTTATTTCATTACAAATACGTACTGACTTCGTTACGCAAGTTTTATTAAAGCTTAAAAAACAACTATATTTACGAAAAGTTTTAATGTCAGGATTGTTATAAATTCCGTTATAGTACATGTCTAGGAAAACAGTCTCATTACTCTTCACACAAACGACACGTGTAGATATATCATATACATACACTGATACTTTCTCTTTCTTACATATTTCATTCTAACAGTTGAGACTTTTCGCTATGTATTACATTCTCGTCACCAAAATAATCAATACTAATTAGCCTATGATTTAGGTGCTATAGTTTTTTGGAAAAAGTGGAATAACAGCCTAAAGTGTCCTTCAACCAGAAGTATCTCTAAAATGACAAGGGAGGAAAACGTGTCCATAAGCCTGTTTATCTGATTGGTAATCACCAACGAACACACTCAACATTCTGAAGACTTACCCGGAGTTCAGTAAGTTGATATGGTGAGAGAAAATCCGAGATAGAACTACGATTAGGGTCTGGAATAAAAAATTTCCTTTCAGTATGCTGACTTAATTACTAAGCTACCACCAGTATTGAATGCAACACAGTTTGAAATCGGTTGCAATGGCGTAACTTATTCTTTCTTTCCCTAAACCTTGAAGTTTCAGATTTATCTCATACTTATTCCTCGACTCCATTCGTTCTCTTTCGTCATTGATGTTATCCCTACTTTTATATTTTTCGTTTTGCTAAGTCCTCGTTTTACCGCTTTATAGAAAGTTAAGCAAATGTTCTGGATTTTATTTTTTCTGCGGTTCCCATCAGTAATACTATCTAATGTTATTATGTAACTTTACTCATTACATCATTCAACCAGTGATGACCGTTAAGAATAATCTAAGCACTTTTAAATTAGATATCATGTATTTTATCTAATCGAAAACCAACCAAACCAACAACATGTAAGATACTCAGTGGATTTACCTGACTTAATAACATACATATTTCAATAAGAAGGCATACACTTCCCAAATTGTTGATCTGATCAAATCTATTGCATATTGATTCTACTCAATTTTGTCTTAATATTTCTAAGTATCTTGGTATAATCATTTTGATAGTCGCTGATTCAAGGCAAGAGGTGTTACGTCTAGGTTTTGTGTTATTTGGTATTCATCATCAAGATCTTTCTGCAATCTTACTTCATACAATTCGATCTAATATCAGTCAGATGAAATATTTTGACCACAGCTAACCTGTATGACAAATATTTTCTCTGTATTAATTAATGTTATTCTTGTCTATCAAACTATACAAAACCATTATAAAACCCCATAACTTTGTAATGTAGTTTTGTGCATACTGATGAAAATATAACTATATATTAAACATATTGGGTAAACTATCAGGTCATCTTGATGTCTGGTTTTTCTATAGATAAAATACAACAAATAAAGTGTATTTATTTAGTTTTATGTGTATATTGAAATTTTTCATTTCATTTCAAATTCTATCCCTTTAAAAATTTTTGTTTTGTTTTAATTCAGTGATAATAAGATTAAAGATTCTTCTCATAATATTTAAGTTTATTAACAATAAAGGACATGGAATCATAGTTCAGCCTCTTTATTCTTATATTGAGTTATTCTAATGAAATTTTTTATCACAATGTATATCTAATTTTATTTCTACTGAATAAAATGGTTTATTATTATGATTTTTTTGATCATACTACTAATATTAATCTCGTTTGCATATATATATATACCCCTCTACTAAATATATTTTATTGAAATTAGTTTACGTTTATTTGAACCTGTCAATTATGAATAAATTTATTGTTTATAAGATCCAGTTATCTAAAAGTCAATTTTTTATTGTAATATATGGATCTGATATGTTCTTAGAGATGAATCACTAAGAATAGGACTTGAAGTTTCCGTTAGATGGTTTCAGAATTTTGAAAAATTAACATCTGAAGATAATCTATGGTTGTTTATTGAGAGAATAAAACCAATAGTTTTGTACGTTCTAACTGTCGTGTATTGAGTTTGTAGTAGGCGTCGAGTTGCGATTGACTATGATCACCACAACAGGAATATTGCGTACCAGATATTAGGTCTAATCCCTTCGTAGACCAAAAGGCAATTGACTGTCGTAATAGATTATATTCGTTAGCTATCTCGTGGTATCGAAATAATACCGAGATCGTGCCCAAAAGTACAAGCGGGACTTCGTAGCGTAAACGAAGGAGGGCGAGGTCAGAGTCCACGGAAGAAGGTGTGGTTTCAGTACAGTAAAACAATCACTGGTACAATTGGTTATAATAATACTTGTTTCCATTATACTAATCGTGTTCTCTTCATTTAAGTAGGTCACTACAAGTTCTCTATAGCAAATTAGTGTAGAATAATAATAAAGCAGAGATAGATAGAGGCTAACAGTGAAGTCTAGGATACACGTTCCGTTTCACTTGGGATTCGTCCACTGGATGAACCTTTATCCCAGAGTTGATGTTCACTCCGGGACCCGAGCCCAGTATCGCTTACTTTGAACACCATTGCGTTATCCACTTAGTTACTGAGTTCACATAGCTATTGGCTTTTGCAACTGGATGAAGTTTAATTCATTTTTGTACTGGTCGTTCGAATCTTCCTATTGATGTTAAGGACTGCAATTAATGGGACTCTAATATGAATTAAGTTATAATTGAAATTAGCGTTGATTCTCTACCTACCCTAAGCTTAAATGAATGGTGTTTACACGAAAGTGAATAACAATATTTTCAGAATACAATGTACTGACTATGTTTCGATCCTTTCTTCATCAGCTGTTCGGTTAAGTTTGCTTGAAATACATTTTTACAAAATCAGAAAGTAAATTCTTTAAAAGTTAAGGGAGTTTGAGATTAAGATTTTTACCATAATAATTGTAAACAATTAAAACGAGAGATCTAGAATATTGATGACGAAACATGATTACATAATATAGCAGGGATTTATTAGATATGTTTGAAGAAACAAAAAATCATTCTAAATTGTAGTCGATTAAATTAAGGTTAATCCCACACGACGCGCTAGAAAGTTAAAGGTGTAATCTATATCTTACCAAAAATTACATAGTTTTAATCAACTCTATATCTTTCTAGATGATTCCACAAATTGACCATCCTATATGAATATACAGAAATGGATTTCCCGATAAACATTTTATTAGTATCAAGTTATCTTTAACTAGTACCGTATTCAATAGATGTCTTCTGTGATAAAAGTGATGCGAAAAACCATGTCTTATAATGATTTCGTATTAAATTAGTTTCTTCGTCTCAGTAATTGATACAAGTCAAGTCACTCAAACTTGAAGTACTGTAGTGAAAAGTTTAGATCTCTTTGCGGTTAATGAATAACTGAAAAAATTCTGAACATGTACTATTAAGAATAGGAAGCCTCACTAGGTATATCAGATGATCTTATGAAGAATAAGAAGCAATCTAAAAAATCTGAGTTGTACTGTCTTAAGATTCATACTCATTTGAACATTCAGTACAAAGACATCAGCTTGATAGATGAGTGACATTTTGGAAGTTGTTTGAAGATAATAATTATTATTGAAATGTCTGTACAATTCATTCAAAAATTGTTTATAAAATCATCTAACCCTAAACCAAAACATTTTTAGTGAAAAGTATCAGAAGGGGTTTTGTGGAGATTGAGGCTAGACCACCATGGAAAACCTGGAAGCACTGGACGGCCGTTTCGTACTATCGTGGGACTCCTCAGCAGTGCGCATCCAAGACTCCGATTCTAACTCAGGAACTATCAGAGAGGTTCTTCGGTAGAAATATAGCTTTTCATCTAATTATTAGTG